TTGATGAGCTCAACCATACTCAGAAAAAATGAAGCAAAAGAAAAGAAAAAGCAGGTTATATCAGCTAGTTTAGCACAGGGCTGGAAAGCACTTAGGGAAACAGGTGAGTCAGGTTTGTCCACATCCGCTGGCGGTGGCCTAGCAGGACAGGTTTTTCCAAGGTTAATCTGTAGTTTGTTATCAAACAATCTTCTGAGGGTGATGTAGGTGAGAGGAATGTAGGGGAGAAGTGAGGAGCAGACAGGCTTGGGTTTATGACCTGGTCTTGTCCCTCTCAGCCCGCGATCCTGGCTAAGTTCATGCATTCCCTGAACGTCAGCTTCCTCAGCCCTAAGACAGCAAGGGTGACACCAGCACCTACTTCAGTGTGCGGTGGTATCAGGATTACGTGAACTAATTAAACAGTACACTTTCACAAAGCAAGTACTCAGTGAGAGGGAGATACTGTTAATTACTGTTAGTACTTGAAGAGCATTTGGTGCCCTGTTTGCTCTGTGCAGGCAGCAAGAGGATGCCTGCTTTTTCAGTCACAGCACCCTTCTTGTCTGTGGGCCTCCTGGCTTCAGCAAGGACTAGCCCAGGGAGACAGCTAGGCGGCAGAACATCTGTCTGTCCCCCAGGCTATCATGGTTAACAGAACAAGGCAGAGTTCACTGTCTCTACCAGCCCCGCATGGTCCTCACCATGATTTCTTCTTGCCTCTTATCCTGACACTGGTTTTCACTTAGAGATGGTATTATTATACCAATAAATTCTAGCCAACATGTAGGACAGTGTTATCACAGAGCTGAAAGAAGCTCCTTGAATGTTCAGGCCCAAGGCTGTATCAATGGCTTCTAAAGAGCAATCATATCACCCCAAGGCCAGGATGACTGCCTGCCTATGAGAAGCGTTCTGAACAGAGGAGAAAGATCTAGCAGATTTGGTGGAATCCTAGAGACATTCATCGTGTTCAGTCATGTATTGCTATCATCAGCCTGAAGATGGTGGGAGGCCAATAAATACCTACAGATTGGTGCATGGAGGGAAAGCCATTTGGGGTTTGGAGTATAAACTCTCCTCAAACTGGATCCACAGAGACATTTGTTTTCCGGGCCATTTATTGAAATGACATTGAAAAGGGCATGCTCTGGATTAAGACAGTTGGAGAACCAAGGCCTAATTGTAGCGGTGTGACCTGACTATTCATTTGTTCTCATATGTATAGAATGGAGGTGACACAGAAGAGCTGAGGGAAAAGTAGTAGAAGCAATAAACATCTCAGAGATTAATACCTGTACTGGGCACTGTGCAAGCCCTTGAGGATAGGCTCATTATCATCCTAATTTGCATACAGGGAAGCTGAAAAACAGAGTGGCTGTCAAACTGGTCCAAAGTCATACAGCTAACTCACAATACCAGACATGAGAAACCGTGAGCCCCTGCCCTGAACTCATATCGATAGTCTCTTGGACATCAAGTGATCTGAGAATAATTCTTTTATCACTGCCACGTCTGAAATAGGAGTAAGGGTTGACTGTTGCATTACTACTAGTCCTTAGTATAGGATATAGTACCTGCAAATTCTTCAAAATGTGGAACGAATTTGAAACTTTTCAGTTTCAGCTTCCAATATTTCATATTCTAGGTTACGGCTGATTTCATGTTCCCCTTGGACAAGATGCACCATTTTGTTTTCCTTATGAAAACATTTCTCTTAATATCTTAATAAATATCTTAATAAAACATATTCTCTTAATATCCACAAAACTGCCTTTGGAGAAAAGGAGACTTTATACAATATTTTTTTTTAAATCTTGGTAAACAAGACAAGTGGGCAATGATGAAATAAAAGCACAGTTTTCAAGAACTTCCCTAGGCATCATTTTCTTGGACGACATCCTAGGGAGAGGCTCAGGCTTATGTCAATTCATGTATAACAAATGCTCATGGTAAGTGAAAGTGTGGATAAGTCACATGATATGGTATCAGCCAATGTGCATTCAAACCTAGATCCTCTCATTACTTTGGTGACATTGTGCCCTCCAAATTTCACATTCTCCATTTCCAAAAACAGAGATAATAGTAAACCTTAAATGAGATTATCCAATGGGAGCTCTTAGAAATTACTAGATTCTCAGTAAAACTTCTCTGTCAGTACTGTTGTTATCTCAATCAACACTCAAAGACTTGAAAACATATTACAGAGACGTGTGGTGAGGACACAATGCAATTCTCTTTCCGGATCATGGTTTGTGGGGGTTCCACCTCCCCCAAAAGGCTCTTATTTTGCTCCTGATTCAAAAATTTATTTTCTTAAAAAAAAAAATGCCACTTTTTAAAACCTGCAAATCAAAAATAGCATCCGGGAATAGAACTAGATAAGGAGCATCTTAAAAAAAGCCCTAGAATCTACTGGAGGATAAGATATAAAACCAGATGTCTTCTAAATCAACAGGACAAAGCTGATGCCAGAAAGGCTTAACACCCATCACAGTGAAGAACGCATAAGTGCAAGGAGGGACCCATAAAAACCACCAGTATGTGAAATACTGCCAGACGCTGTGTGGTTGCCAGAGAGAAAGCATCACCAGACTGGATTCTCATGCTGCTTTCTGCAAAACTACTGTGCTGGATATTAATTAAAGTAAGTCAGTTCCTCAGGCAGCTGTGTGGGAAAGGAATTCTGTGAAGAAGTCTCTTCCTCTGACAGACTTCTTTTGGAACTTTGGATTTCCTACAAGTAAGCTTCTCCAAGACAAACTCACCTGACTGCTTGCAGGGCTGGGTGCTTATGAGAAACAGAAACTATGCTGATTTCTCCATCACTGTCACATAAATACTTTGCAAGAGACTGGCACCACACGTATATCTCACAGCAACCTCACTTGCAACAGAGAGTAGTGGTTGTCACTTGATTTTACAGAAAAATATGAGAGGTGGAGGCAGCAAGGAAATTGCCCATACTTTCATAAAGCAGAGCCCACAGAAATACCCCGGATCCTCTGATCCCTAAAAGAAGCCTCTTTCCATCCTGAAAAGAAATGACATCCACGTCACCATGTGGAGTGTGAGCAAGTCTGGTGGAAAAATAAGTGCTTAGATTGATAAAGCAGGAGTAGAAGGATGCACCTTCAAGCTTTCTGAAATTGTACTAGCTTGACCTATACCCAAGCATTGCTAAGATCAAGGATCTGTCTCATATCTGGAAGGGCAAATGTCACAGTCATCAGCAGTGCTACTTATCAAAACAGGTCAGCAGAGCTGGTCTTATTATTCCTGGCTATTTCCCAGGGGACAAAGTCCACTTGATGTGTTTTAGCATTTTTCTTTATGTTACCCAAGGATGAAATCAGATGCCCCTTGAGCTCTTGAAAATGCAGGTGTCCTTTGCTTCAGTTTTTACACTGACATGTTTGTGGCCCCACAAGTGGAGGTATCGAATGGGAGGGAGCTAAACCGGTGGGCATATTTCTGGCTCCCTTCCACTATTGTTTACACAGCAAAGATTACCTGAGTCACTACTATTGATAAGAACTTGGCTAAGCCCTGACGACTCAGTCTTGTCCAAGGGGCAAAAGACAAATAGGAGGTCTGCATTCTTCTTGACTTGCATGCTACTGGGGAAGATAAAAGGTAAACAAGACAAACTTACTAGACTCTGGTAAGCATTATGAAAACAATGAATACAGTGAGAACGTAATTGGAGTGAGGAAGTATTTTAGATCAGAGTTGAAACCTGATGGGAGAGAGGAAGCCAATTATAGGAATAATCAAGGGAAAATTATTCCAGGCAGAGGGTCTGGAGGAGAGAAAGGACACAGACAGTCAACGTTGCCAGGTCACTGTGCATTCGGCAACCAGGTGTTAGGTGAGGTCAGAGTGTGGATTGAATACGCGTCACGAGGACCTGGGTGAGCCATGCTTTGGATTAGTTTTAAGTGGCCCTATGTACTGCCCCAGTGTTCAGGTCTCTCCTGCTCAAGGCCATTTCCTTCTCTCTTCTACTGACAGTTCTAGATATTCCAGGATTTGCTTTGTTCCTCAGCTGCAGTCTTTAAATTCTTAATGACATAAACCATGTGGATGACATATTGCTGACAGTGGGCTCTTAACGGTCTCCAAGCCCACTGGAAGGGCTGGTGGAGGCTTGAGTCATAGAGCTCTAAATTATTTTGTGAGCATACAGCAGGAGATGAAGGCTTCAGCTTTATCCTCCTAGAGAAGGTTCTTTTCAAATCCAAATTGTTCCACACCAGCTCTGTACATTGAATCTGAAAGACCAGGTGAAACATGGCCTCAGCGGTACAAGCCTAGAGCCTGGGCTTCGGGATCAGTGAAGCTGCTTTGGCTCAGTTAGCCACCCTGACTCTTACCGTCCTCATCAGTAATTACAGATAATACAACACATTCCTGTGGGCTTTTAACACTGCATAAAGTGCTTCACAGCCATGCTTTATAAATCATTTTATTAATCTCTAATCATTACTGTCTTTATTAGATGCCATCATAAAATAACCCGTCTGTTATTCTCTTCCTTAAGCTATTTGCATCTTTCAAAATCCCCCATAATAGCTTTGAAAATTTTTAGAAAGAAACTCTACTACAAGTAAAGACCAATACCTATACAGGCTGTCTGTATAGGCATCATTTCCAAGCAGCAGGCAGCAAAAGCAAAGGCTCCCTGCAAAGGCTGTCTACTCAGCGTAAGGCAGAAGCCAGGAGAACATCACCCCGGAGAACATCACCATCAGCAACAGCTCTCAGTCACCCAAAAGTCCTAGCCTGCTCCTTAGACAAAGAGCCTCCCACATTGACTCGGGACTAAGGATCCCCAGAGCCTGGAGCTACAGGTGGCTGGTGGTGGACACAGCTCTATTCCTAAGGCCCAGGGTACTGTGGTCAAGGGCAGTCTCAAAGACTCCTTTTGAAGTGACATCTGTGCCTGGGACCAGCAAGCACTGGGGACAGCTGAGGACAAAAGACCAATCTGCAGCCTCAGCATCTAGCAAGGCACTTACCTCCTCCCTCCTGGATGCAGGCTCCGCAGCTATGGCAGAATATGTCAGCACTCCTTGGGTGGCGTTCTTATTCTGGTGGGGCAGTGGGGAGGAAGGCTAGGCTGCTACCACCCCCAGTTATCTCACCAAAGGGGAGTGACAGGGAGACCTCTCTTTTTGTCTCTGGCTGGAACAGAGGACTGAGGAATTCTGGAAGCTCAGCCTTCAATTTCAGTGACCTGAACACAATTCCTCCACCCTGATTTCCTGCTCTTAGGGCCTACTGTAGCAACTTGCTTGGTCCCGCCCTCCTCATCCATTCTAGGCTCTGTTCCAAGCCCTCATCCCCACCCTCCTCCTTGTCTTCCTACTTGGCTCCTGGCAGGACTGGCCTGACCAGATCACGTGACTCAGAGAGGCTGCTTCTGTGCTGCTGTTAGTTGGTGCCTGCTTGGTCTCAGGTCTCCACCAGCCTGCTTCTGGCTTCTGGAACCTATTTTGAGAGAGTTTGTCAGAAGCAGAATTTGGGTCTTGGGCCAGACCCAAGGAAAGATGGAGAGGAGCAGTTATTTGGAGCTTGAATCTCAACCTAGTTTCTGCCACAGGTTGACTTCATTCCAGGCTAAGGAGGCACTCTAGTGCCTGAGACCTACCCATATTAAACGCTTACTTTAGAGACCCCAGATTTTCTTATGGCAGATGCAGTACCTTTCATTTTTAGCAGAGAAAACTTGAGCAACAAAGTCAAAATCTGCTCACCAGGTCCAAAGGAGATTCCATATTTTCCTCTGTACAGTGTTGAGGAAATCAGCAAGGGGAACATAGCAATGCATTGCATGTGTGTTATTAAAATGTAATTAGTCACTGATTTAGATGTTCTAGTGAATCAACAGGTGGCCTTAAAGAAACGAGTTAAATTATCCTTGAAAAATGACACTCATTATTCAGTTCCCAAGTCTAAGAATTTGGGATTTTATTTTGCAGTTTGTCAAAATTGTATTTTATTCCTTCCCTATTAGACATGGCCAGAATTTAGGATTTATAAGAATTAACTGGGTTATGGCAAACGCAGATTTCTGCTTGAAATTCAGGATTCCAGGAAGGAATGGGAATATGAGAATTCTGATGGGTGGTCTCTTACCTTGTACTTTAAGAGAACATTGCCTGAGACTAGCTCTAAGTTTTCTGTTCCTGTCTGGCATTTCTGGTGTCCTTTCGGATTCAGCTGGGGACCAGCGGTTCCCATTGTTTCCAACTCATGTTTTTGCCCTGCCCTCAAGAATTTTCCAGTTGATGCCAGTATTTTCATTCTCCCTCTGGCTCATGAATGAACTTTGTCAAAGTAGAGTCAGGTTCGCAGATATGTCAGCCATCAGCGGCCTTAGAAGTGATGTCCCCTAACCTTTCCTATTTCACCAGCACAAACACTGAGCTCTGGTCTTGCCTTTTCTTCACCTAAGGCTCAAACCTCACCCTGCTGCGACTTCCAAGTGATCTGCAGTCCCCTGAAAGTTAGCTGTTCATAAGCCAAATACCCCCAAGCCAGGCCCTGTACAGGTTCTAGCACTTCTGGAGATGAGCCAGGCACCTGAGCTCATGGTTTCCTGCTCCAAGACTGTGTATAAATTCAATGTTTCTTAAGAAAGTTTAATTTAAACCGGGCATGGTGGTGCACACTGTAATCCCAGCACTTGGGAGACTGAGGTAAGAGGATTGTTGCAAGTTCGAGGCCAGCCTGGGCTACAAAGTAAGCTCAGGGCCAACCTGAACTGCATAGTGAGACCCTATCTCAGAAAAAAAAATAGAAAGTTTAATTTTAGAGTGAGATTCTCACATCCTACCCGCTCCTCTGAATGAAATTATCTGGGCAACTGGACCTCATAGGACTGCTTGGTCACGTCAATCATTACTTGTAAGACAAGAAATACAGGGTCCACTTGATTTAAAGCACATTTACTAAGTACCCAATGTGTGCAGGATAGCATGTGAGGCACAATGTGGGGTGTGAATGGAGACCCAGTTACACTACAAGCTTATCAGTGAGTTAGGTGAAAGGCAGAGAAGGGAAATCAGATGTTGAGATTGATTTGGGACAATCCACATTTAAATTCACATATACCCAAGGGAAAATGCTCTTTTAAAGATGCCTAACCTTGCCCATTAATAGTTTAGAGGATCCCATTTAATACATGAAGGAACCTAATGTTAAATTTTTTTTGCTTTACCTGTGATTTTCACATTTTCTCTGGAATTGCCACTTACCAGCATAGTCTAGTGATTACAAACACAAACTTTTTTAAAATTTAAAGATAAAAGAATGAAAACACATTAGCCAACATACAGATATAAACAAAACAACTCAAAAACTATAAAAGCAATACAGAATTTCAGACAAGGTGATAGGACATTCACAGTGGTTGTTGTATTACATATTGCTATCTTCAAATTGGTTACTCAGATAAACAAATATAGGCATGTAAGATTGATCAAACCATGAAACATTAACTATTTCTTTCAATAAAGCAATAGAAATCAGTAGTACAACTATCTTAGCTATCCTGTTTATACATATATACATATTTTTCCCTTGTTTCTTGCTTTTCTCTTGTCTTTCATCCCAGTTGTTCTTTCCTTTTGAGCAGTTTTTTTCCCTTTCACAATATCTATTGTACCTTTTAGATTTTATTCACTCTCTCAGGTTCATGCACTAGTGAGACAATACGACATTTATACATGTGGGTCTGATTTATTTCACTTATGAGTATGGTCTCTAATTTTATCCATTTACCTATAAAAGCCTCGAGTTTATCTTTCTTTATAGCTGAGTAATATTCCATTGTACAAAAATACCACAACTTTTGAATCCATTCATCTGTGGATGGGCATTTGGGTTGCTTCCACAATTTAGCTATTACAAATTGCCCTGCTATAAACATGGGTGCACATATATCGCTGTGATCTGATGTTTTTAGTTCTTCTGGGAAAATACAAATACAAACTTTGACAGCAGAATTCTTGTATTCTACAGGTGGCTCCTCTGCTATTTCACTGGCAAGTGGTGTAGCACAAAGTGCTCATCCTCTCTGGGGATAATAATAATACTTCCACCGTAGAGCTGTTACGAAGATAGGATGAGCTAATACAGATAAGTGCTCTCAACTAAAAGAGCTCAAGTATTATCATTGTTTAGGAGATCCTGGCTGATATTACCATGTCTGGTTATTTTCACTATGAAGGACTCCTAATATTTCCTCACCCAGAGATCACTAATGGTTCTCAAATTCTTGTTTCACTTAATGTGTGCTTCTCAGTCCTGGTCTCAAGGTTCTTTAGTAGTTCATCCGTGCTTTCCTTCATGTGTTCATTTACTTATTTTTGGTTGAGGATGTGCCATGTGCCATCAGCTGTGCTAACTTCTGGGAATACAACAGTAAAGAAGCACAGCTTACTTACCCCCAAGGGGTCAGTAAGTACCGCAGATAGTGATGGATAAATCACACAAAAGTGCTGAAATTATGATTTTATTAAATGTTAAGAAGGAGAGGTCCCCAGTGCTGTGAGAGCATGTGAGAATGGATCTGATCTGGTCAGAGGGTGAAGTTGGCCCTGGGATAGAGTCAACTATAAAATAGTGGGGATGACATCGGAAGTTTCCAAATGAATGCCATGTACCTTGTGCAGTAGTCAGTTTTATTGCAGTAACAGTATCCCTCAATCTCCGTGGTTTCCACCACAAAGGTTTATGAGAGAGCTGTTGGGTGACTGTAGCTCTGCTCAGATCATGACTGTGCTTCTCCTGAGGGGCTCAGGCTGAAGGGACACTCCCTAAATGGGACATGCTATTTTCATGGCAGCAAGAAATGTAAAGAACACCGAGGAGACCTGTTCTGCCTTCAAGGTTCTGCTTAGATGTGACCTCTGCTCTATTTGCTTTTAATTTGTTTGTTCAAAACCCAAAGCCACTGGGACGGGTTGTGTGGTTACCTCCTCTGGGAGCATGGTGAGCCACATGGCAGTGGGTACAAATGCAATCCTCTTACAAGGAAGGAGGTAGGACTAAATAATGGCTATCTATATATACTATTGGATTGAGGGGCTGGGGTAGAAGGTAAATGGCAAAAGACCCGGAGACTTGAATATCTAGAGTTGATAGAGCTGACAGGAAGATGGTGAGACTGAGGTGACAGGCAGGGACCAAGCCATGCAAGAAAATCTGTACTTCCACTGTGAGCAATGGGAAAACACCAACTTTTACTCATCCAACCTCTCCTTTTAGTGGTTATATTAATAGTTTTCATATTTTCTGGTTTCCATAGTGATATACATTCATTACAGAAAGTTTAGAAATGACAGATAAAAAATATACGTTGTTCTTAACTTTACAACTCAGAAGGAACCATCATTGATGAATATTTTGGTGAATATATTTTTAGACTTTCAGATTGTTTCAATATAAAGTATTTTGAAAACCAAAATTGGATTCCATTCTTCAGTTGTTATGAGTATTTTGTAAGTTATTAAATATTCTTCCCATTACAGTTCTGTCATATGAATGTGCCAAAATTTAATTTTTTTGGTACTGGTCATCCAGGTTTTAAACTTATTTCCATTTTGTAAAATTTATCCAACAAAGTTCTTTTTATTTGCTCACATCTATATTAGAAAGAGTATTTTCATTTTAAAAGGACATGGCAAATATTAAGGCTATATTTCTAGTCGTCCTTCCAGAAAAGTCATAGCCGATTCTGCACTATTCTAGAGAATGATTTGTAAATTTAAGTTATAATTATTTTATATTGCCAATGTTTTCAGTGGAAAATGTTGCTTATTTTTATTTTGCATTTGTTTGAAAACTTATGTCAGATCTTAATCATAAATAATCCCTTGTGTATTTATCAGAAAAAGACTCACAGAATCTGGACCTTTGACATTGGTGCTTAGAAGGCACTCCTAGTTCCTCTTCAGCAAAATATGACTATTTCTCCTCTACGATACATTCTTTATTTTCTAAGAAGTTGGTGAGGATGTGGACAGTTGGGACCACATATATGGTGGGATGATATGGTTTACTTGCCTTTTATCTTCCTATATATAGAGGCTACCCTCCTATCACTATAGAACATTTGCCTGTGTGCTGTAGATGTTATAACCTATAAATATTTGTGAATGAATGTTAAGCAAAAGCCTAACAGCACAATGAATGGTTAATTTCTAAACTGATGAATGACTCAGTTGTGGAGACTTGTAC